TGTCAGGAACTCAAGAGGAAGCACCGCGTCGAGCTCGGTGCCGGGGCTCTCAGTCTCAAACTTTGTCCACTGACAAGAAAACTCCGACGCCGGGATGGCGCCGTGCCGTGCCTGCATTGTTGGTGCCGGGATGGCACCAGCATTGTTTGACACTGTCAGGGGCTTCGCGAAACCCTCCTCAAAGAGCACGACAAGCAGTTGACTGTCGGGGGTCTCAACTTCGACAGCTATTTACAATACGTAATCTCCCCCGTTGCTGTCAGTTTTGAACATGTACTTGATTTACAAGGCAGTTCACGAGGAGTTCGCAAAGAAGCTGCAGACTGCTTTGGCTGCCGGGAAACTTGGAATCTTGATTTGTTTGCGAAAAATTTGTTGACGCATTTAGTACTGTTGAATTGCCGTCAGGCTCAGCGCGAGAAACTCATGGCTCAGAGGCTGGCCGATCTCGAAGCCGGCGACTGAGACGCGCCGGGACGGCGCCCCACTGGCATTTAGTATACATATAATATATTACAATAACGTTATATAGAGCCTGCTGACGTCAGGAGCAGCAGAATGACCTCTTGATGACCCACCAGAAAGCCATGGAGGCCAAGTCAAACGATCGACAAACCAAACTCCAATCTAAGTATCTAAGTCAAGTCTTTGGCGCCGGGATGGCGCCGCCACAGTGGAACCTCACAGGCGCTGCAAAAAGAGTTGGCTAAGAAGCATCGGGCTGAGATGGAGGCTGGGCAACTCGCTAAAATGTCTATAGTCTCGGCGCCGGGATGGCGCCGCTATAATAGTTGAAGCTGGCAGGACAAGCTGCAGCAACTTCGCAAAGAGCACCGCGAGAGCACGGAGGCCAGGCAACGTCAAACCCAATCTGCCTTTTGCGCCGGGATGGCGCAGATTGGAGTGAAAGCCTGACAGGAGCTTCGGCGCTGGATGGGAAACAAACGGGAACAAGACATGGAGGCCAGGGTAACTCAGACCTGACTTTGTTTTTTCGTGCTAGGATGGCCCTGCTCCTTACGAAACCTGACAGGTCCAAGCCGATGCACTGCAGAAGCTGTACAAGCAGGACCTCCAGGCAGATGTTCCAACATTCAATATCGGCCTTTTTGACTAACGTTGCCAGGTACAACAGAAGCAGCACCAGGAGGAGCTGAAGGCCGGAAAAACCACACGCCAGGATAAGTGTGGTAAGTGGACATGAATGACGTTAGGCTCTGCGGCAGAAGCACCTCAAGGAGCTGGAGGCACTGCAACCCTGTACTTCTATCAGCGCCGAGATGGCACTGATTTCCTCCACTTTCACTACATCAGCGCCGAGATGGCACTGATTTCTTCTAATATCACAACACCTGTTTATGTCAGTTCTGACAGGGCACTGATTTCACCCTGCCAGGAGCTAAAGGCTCAGGCGGCGCAGGATCGCGGAAAGCTGGATGACGCGCCACACCACACCGAGCCATCGAAAGCATCCAAGACTGAGAAGAAGAGGAAGAAGGCGGACAAGGACGCACGGCCAAAGCAGAAGATGATTTTTTCCACTTTAGCCATACTAGAACACACACACCCACACCCGAGATGGCATTGAGTTCTTCCTTCCAGGAGGCCTTCCTTGAGGAGCCTGGGATTCGGGACGACCTGCCTGAGCTGGTGGTGCCGCCGCGCAAGAAGAAGAAAGACAAGAACAAGAAGAAGCGCAGCCACAGCGACTAGGTCAGCGTGTCACCTATACTTGTCCGCACAGGCTGCCGTAGGATCTGCAATCGTCCCACTCAACCAAACACCTAATTCAGAGTCCCATCAAACACGTTCAATTTAAAACGTTTCAGTGGATGGATAAGTCAAAACTCAGTATCATAACTATCCGCCCACAGATCCTACGGCAGTGGAGCACTGTCGCAGCGCAAATGCAAAAAAGGGAGCCCTGCGAGAGACAAAACTAAACTGCGGCGCCGTGATGGCACCTCGTGCCAGAATTAAGGCGCCGTGATGGCACCACTTTAATCGTTTCTTTTCGATTAGCCCTTGCCTTCGATTGTGCCAAGGAGCCTGGCGGAGACAATGCTGATGGAACTGATCAGCCATGTCCTCAGCCAGATTGCCACCCATGTCAAAACTCTCTTCACAAGTTCAAGCTGGCGCCATCACGGCGCCGTGGACGGCGCCATCCCGGCGCCGACTCATTGACTGAGGTGGAGACCAAGCCTGAAGCGCTGGCCCCAGAAATAACCTTGGCCATCCATCAGAACTGCTTGCTCTTTCCAAAGACGAGTTCCCGCACAATCCAAATGACCGACGACCGAGGCCCCTTTCCCTTTCCTGCGATCTGATGAGGGCCAGGCGCCCCAGAAACATGGAGGGAGCGCCACAGCCTGGGCGTCTGGCGCCCGGCGCCGTGATGGCGCCGCCAACTACCCAGACCAGGTAGCTTGTTGGTTTGGTGGCGGGTCTTTTGGGTATCTAGTAGGGGGTGGTCCGCTCGACTGGCGCCGTGATGGAACCAGCCATAGCCAACTTTCTTGAGGGAAACTTGAAACTTTGGGTGGAACAACGCTGGAGTTTGATGATTCGTTGCCCCTGGCTCAAAGCCGCATGATCACTGGCAGTGAGATGAGCAAAATTAAATGCTGACTATTGAACGACAACTCCAAAAAGAATGTTACTCCAATCTAGCGAGCCCAGCTTTCCACTCCATCAAATATGCGCTTCCACAGGCTTCCCCCGTCGGTGAGACCATTGCGGCAACCAGTTCCAAATGTCCATCTCAGAGCACGCGCGCGCAAATGCACTATAGACTACAGCGACGAATGCACTGACACACTACTAAGCCCAAAAAAATTAAAGCAATACTTCATTTCAGAGTTTGACGCCAGCACTACGACGATCCCATGGACAATGCCCCGCGGAAGGTGGAGGGCCAAGAGCGTGTGCCTAAGATCCTCAAGCTGCAGATGGTTTTGAAAGACGATGGGCGGAAGCGAAGACACGTGGACGATGAGACTTCGTTGATGAAGCGACAGTTGCCTGACAATTTTATCAAGGACCCCTATATTGCGAAGTTCAAGGAGGCTGAAGAGACTCGCAGGCTGTTGAGGCGGGTGGCCCAGGCATCCGCAGAACATCGGCAGGAAAAGAAGCAACGGGAGGCAGAAGCGCAGAAGCAAGAGCAGGAGAAGACGGCTCCCATGGCACGGCAACAGGAGGAGGAAGCCGCGCAGGCCGCTGCCACGCATGCTGCTGCGCAGGCGCAGCAGCAGCAGCAGCAGCAGGAGCAGGAGCAGTGGCGTCAGCAGCAGGAGCAGTGGCAGCAGCAGCAGGCTCAGGAGCAGTGGCAGCAGCAGCAGCAGCACCAGGAGGCGGCATGGCAATGGCAAGGCTGGTTTCAGCAGCAGCAGCAGCTGCAGCAACAGCCACAACAGCAGGAGCCTGAGAAGAAGCGGCGCTGTCCACCATCCCGAGCGCAACGGGAACACGGCCGGTACGCCGACCAGCTGGCGGCCAAAGAGAAAGCAGAAGCTCGCTTGGAGGACTGGGGTTCTCCCTCATCGTTGCCTCATTGTTGAACGGAATTGTGAGCGGTGTGTCATGTCAGGAACTACGGAAAAAGTTTCGCGGCGAGATGGATGCCGGGGCTCTCAGTTTCAAACTTTGTCCACTGACAAGAAAACTTCGGCGCCGGGATGGCGCCGTGCCTGCGTTGTTGGTGCCGGGATGGCACCAGCATTGTTTGGCCAACTGGTCTTGATGGTGACACCGTCAGGATCTTCGCGAACGCCTCCTTGCAAATCACAGCCAGCAGTTGGATGTCGGAGGGCTCAATTTCGACAGCTATGATTACGTAATCTCGCCGGCTACTGTCAGAACATGTACTTAATTTCCAAGGACCAACATGAGCAGCATGCAAGGACGCACCGCGCTGCTTTGGCTGCCGGGCAACTTAGAATCTTGATTTGTTTGCGCGAACTTTGTTGACGCACTTTCGTTACTGTTGAGTTGCTGCCAGGCTCAGCGCGAGAAGTTGTCGCAGCAAAAGCAGGAAGAGCTTGAAGCCGGCGACTCAGACGCGCCGGGACGGCGCCGCCCATTCGGAATTGGTATGGAGCCTGCTGACGTCAGGAGCAGCGCATCGAACTCCTCATGACGCAGGAGGAAGCCCTGGAGGCCGTGTCGACGTAAGTCTAGCTTTGGCGCCGGGATGGCGCCGCAACAGTGGAACGTAACAGGAGCTGCGAACGAAGTTGGACAAGAAGCATCAGGCTGAGGTGGAGGCCGGGCAACTTTCTAAATGTCTAGTCTTGGCGCCGGGATGGCGCCGCTATAGTTATAGTTGAAGCTGGCAGGAAAAGTCGCAGCAGCTCCGCAAAGAACACCTCGAGGATTTGCATGCTGGGCAACTCAGACCTTCTTCGGTTTTATCTCTGGTGCCGTGATGGCGCCGCCACAGTTGAAACTGACAGGTACAGTTGGAGCATCTGCAATCCAAACACGCTGAAGAGATGGAGGCCAAGCAACTCATACTTTACTTCTTCTGAAGTCAAACTTTGGCGGCGCCGGGATGGCGCCGCTTTAAAAGCGGAAACCTGCCAGGAGAAGCAGCGTTGGCTGGGCAAAAAGTACGATCAAGAGATGGAGGCCGGGCAAGTCGGACTGACCTTCTAAAGTCAAACTTTGGCGGCGCCGGGATGGCGCCGTTTTTTGCGAAACCTGACAGGCGCAAGCGGAGAGGCTCGAGCAGAAGCGCCTGCATGACTTGAAGGCCTTATGGCGGCGCCGCGCTATGCCGTGCAAATATTTTAAACGTTGCTAGGTGCAGAAGGCCGTCCTGACGACGGCGCACGAGCAGGAACTGGAGGCGGGGCAAACCACACGCCAGAGGCAACTGGAAATTGATGATGCTAGGCGCAACGAGACCGCCTGTACAAGAACCATCTGAAAGAGGTGGAGGCCGAGCGATTCAAACTTTTTGCAGCGCCGAGATGGCACTGCTTTCTTCCTGCCAGGAGCTAAAGGCTCAGGCGGCCCAGGATCCCAGAAAGCTGGACGATGCGCCGGACCAGACAGAGCCATCGAAAGCATCTAAGCCTGGAAAGAAGAGGAAGAAGGACAAGGACGCGCCGCCAAAGCAGAAGAAGACTGCCAAGCGCAGCCACAGCTAGGTCACGCTTCACACACTTGTCCGCACAGGCTGCCGTAGGATCTAGGTGGGCGGCTTCAATCTCAATCAAGATCCTATACTATTAAGAGTCCACATCATCACAAATGCTCAATCAAAAACGTTTCAGTTGATATCATGCCTATATCTATTTCCATCCGCCCACAGATCCTACGGCAGTGGAGCACTGTCGCAACGCGAATGAAAAGGGAACCCTGCGAGAGACAAAACTAAACTGTGGCGCCGTGATGGCACCTTGTTTCAGAATTAAGGCGCCGTGATGGCGCCACTTTAATCGTTTCTTTTCAACTCGCCCTTGCCTTCGATTGTGCGTGCCAAGGAGCCTGATGGAGACACCGCTGATGGAAGTGATGAGCCATGTCCTCGGTCAGATTTCCGCTCATGTCAGAACATCTCGTCGCAAGTTCAAACCAACGCTCCCAATTTAGCTGGTGCCATCACGGCACCGTGGACGGTGCCATCCCGGCGCCGACCCAATGACTCAGGTTGAGGCCAAGCCTGAAACGCTGGGGGGCACAGCGCAGGGTCTGGTTTGACGCCTTGGAGACAATAGTAGCGATTTGGTTGGTGCTGAGATAGCACCATGTCTTTATATTCTCTCATATATTATGGAATTATATCTGTGTGCGTGTGTTGTGTGTGTGTGGGTTTTGCTCAATGGTGCCGTGATGGCACCACGATTATCGCGTCTTTCGATTCGCCCTTACCCTCGATTTTTGCCAAGGAGCCTCATGGAGACGTTGCTGATGGAAGTGATGAGCCATGTCCTCAATCAGATTTCTATCAGAACATGTCTTTACAGTTCAAGAGAACTCCCAAACAAAAACTGACCTTTCCCACGTCACTGCTATCCTATTTCAGTGTCAACATCTCAATATAACAAATGAAGTTTCGATGATGAGGCTGGGACGTTCCAAGAAAGAGACCAAGCTCGCCATGCTTCAACTTGGGGGGCCTCAATAACCGCAGTTACTGTTGGAATTTGGAATGGGATGGGTGTGATTTGGGGATGGATGAGTGGCTGGATGATAGATGGATGCCAATGAGTCATGGATGGCATTACAGTGAGGTTCAAGATGGAGTCAGATTAATGCATTGACTTGAATAACTTAGAGAGCAAATGCCATCTCGGCATCTGGCTCAGTGAAGCTATCACAGCGTCACTGGGCTACTGGTGCCATCTCGGCGCCAGCACTCTTGTTTTGTCGTTGGCTGGTCAGATGCATTTTGTGGATGGATGGATGGATGGATGGATATGTCTGGATGATGTGGGAGCAGATAAGTTTGCAAAAAAGTATGTCCTTTACAAATCAGAAAAACTGCAAATCTTGCCAAGTGTCTTGGGATCTTTGGAGCTGAAAATGGCTGCAGGACAATCAGCAAATGCCATCTCGGCACTGCTGTGGCACTTGTATTTAAACAAATTCTTACCTTACAACTTCAAGTTTATGTTTTTGAAACGCCTCTGGGAAATTCCTTTCACTATCAAATGATACACGGCATCGACTTGAATGTCAAATATCATGGATCCTGACATCGAATTATTTGATTTCTTGTCCCGCCCTGCCCCTCCTCCAGCTAACATCACTGGGAGTCATCATCCTTAATTTAAAAAATGATGAGGTTTCGAATAATCAGTTTTTGGGAGTCATCATCTTTATCAAAACTCATCAGATTTTGAATCATCAGCGGTTGCTACATCAAAAATCAAATTTTTCAAATGTTTTTGTTGTAGCCCCAGTGGCGCCCCCACTAAGAAAAGTCAAGTCCAAGGCCAAGCAGCTGCCCAGGGACATCGAGTTCGGCGAGGCTGCGTCCACGGTCTCCTTCCTGCCCTCCACCTCACAAGGGGTGGGGAAAGGGAGGCCGAAAAGGAAAAGGAAAAAAGAAAGGCAAGAAGCTTGACAATGCGTGGACAAACAAGGGAAAGAAGAAGGTCAAGACTCAGCAAAGCTTTAAGGAGTTCTTGGCCCAGAGGAGAAGGTAGTCGGGCGGATGCCCCCACGGCTGCAGCAATTGAAGCAGGTGCGGATAGAGCGAGGCTGAGGAGAAGGCCGGTGGCAGTTGAACCTCCTGCGGAACTCACTTTCGCTACGGGAGGGTTGATTGGGGCTCATCAGATCCCAATAGGGGAGCTCCTGCCGGGGACTCAAGTCTACGTGGAAGGGAGCTATTGGGGGAATTCCATCTCCTTCACTGGCGAGGTTGCTGCGGTGTCAGCGAAAGGCGGACAACTGGAACTTACCCTGCTTGTGGCTGCAACCTCGGACGAAACCTTCCTTCGCTGGGCTTCAGGACAGGCAGACAAGTTGGTGCGATGTCATCTATGCCACCCAGAATGTGGGGGAAGCCCCGAAGCAGACGATTATATACATGCAAAGGCTATGAGGCTCTTGAAGTTCGACCCTCCTTCATGGAGCCAAAATTTGAAGGAGGCGGGGGAGACCGACGTGTTCAGGAGGATGGCCGAGGAGTCAGCAAGGAAGATGAGGGAGGAAAGAGGAAAAGGAACAGGAACGGGTCCACCCCGGGCAGCCGAGGTAGGAGCAGCTGTCAAGGAGGGCGAGGAGGCCAGTTCGACATCGGGCGAAAGAAAAAAGAAGCGAAAGAAAAAGAAAAAGAAGAAGACCAAGGCATGGAAGGTAGAAGGCAAAAAGACCTTGGACTCCCTCTTCAACCACACCGGCCTGGATCCTGTGCTGAAGTCTCGTCAACAAGTGATGAAGAAGGCTCGGAGAGCAATGCGCAAGAAGACCAGGGGAGAAAGCACAGGGAGTTCCGGGAGCTCGACAAGCGAGACGTCATCGGCGGAGATAGAGGGCAGCCTTTTCGAAGAAGGGCATCGCATCCGCCGAGCGGCCACCAAGGGGCCGGGTGCTCTGGCGCGCTACACGGTGGAGAACATGGCCAAGATGCTGCTTACTTGGATGTGCGGTTGGGGTTGTAAGTAGTTAGCCTCGTTGTCCAGCTTACTAACCGAATATAAGTAGACTATAACTTAGGTATAAGCTGGTTGCAAACGCGGTAACTAACTTGCAACCGTGTTAAGTTCGCCTCTATGCTGCCTATGTGCACTTGTGTTCCTGTCTGTACTTACTAAGATGATATAACCACTTAGTAAGTCCAACGCGAAGATAGCGAACATATGATCTACTTAAAATGTGAACTTACTATCTTAAGATATGTAAGTTCGATATATGTTTTAGTTGAGGTTATCCAACTTAGTATCTATGTTTATAAGTTCGACCGGTCGAACTTAGTCGAACTTACTAAGTTCGACCGGTCGAACTTAGTAAGTGGAATATATAAGATATATCAAGATATATTTTTGTATATCGTTATCAAAATTTGTTTTTTTGATGTTAAATTCAATGATCAAGGTGGTGTCGGGCCACACGTGCTCGCATCCTCATGTGTAAGCACAGTACTTTATACATACGTTTCAAACACGTACTATATTTGTTTTGGTTTTGTTTCGGTGTTCCGAACATATGTGTTCCAAACATTTTGTTTCGATGCTCCACGTATACATATATTGATTGGATTCAGATTGGTGGGCGTGTATTCAGCGCATTAAACACATGGGATATTCACAATGAACCACCGTAGATGCCAGAACGACGCTCAAGCACGCAGGCATGTAAACAGGGAACCACCAAAGGTCACCAAACTATATACAATAACACATGTTTTTGTGGTTTCGAAGCCTTCAATAGAATGATTAATTGAATCGGGTTTTTGGTCTTCACAAAGGTTGACTTCTTTGTTTGATCAGGTCTTGAGTACATTGACTACATTTGTTTTATATTGTCCCATTGCACCGGCCAAAAGATGTGATCCAATGCCGCGGCAGCTGCCTGAATTTGGCGCGCAGGCTCGCTTCAGGTCATTCGAGACAGTGGGTGGATTCGGCATCATGTTCAAAGGGTTGTGTTGAATTGAATTTTAGGAGTCCTGGTTTTTGTTTGTATTATTTTTCAGGCCGTTTGACGTGAGCGCATGAACTCAATCTGTGTTGTGGTTTTTGATAGACCAGTATCGACTGTTCAATGCTTTTGGGGTGCATTGCGCACAAGTTGTTGACTTGTTTGTTCAGGTTTTGTTTATACATTGACCATCTGTTGGTCTATATATGGTCTCATTGCACCGGCCAAGGATGTGATCCAATGCAGCGGCAGCTGCCTTTGGCATGCAGGCTCGTTTCGGTCTATCCGGGGCAGCGTGTGGATTTTGCGCATAGCAATTTGACATTGATCGGTGTGTTGCATCGTCTCGTTATATTAACCTAGAGGTTGGCATTTCAGTGATTGAACCTCAATACGATTTTGTTTATAAGGTTTGATTCGATTTGAGTGTCTAACAATTTGAAGTGGTGTTCAACCATGAATGCACAGTTGCAAGTGAATTATTTGGCTCAACAACGAGTGGTTTCGAATCGATATTCAATACTCGACCTGTTTGCTGGAAGGAGTCGCTCCTGGCAACATCAGAGGATTGAACCATCAGAGGATTGGAACTTTTTGATCAGAGGAATGACAGTTCAACCCATATATGTGCCATATGGCATTTCTTCTTTCTGTTTCAAACCTCGACCTATCTGCCGTGCGGAGTCGCTCCTAGCTGGCAGCGTCAGAGGATTGAAACTTCTGGCAAGAGATGCAGCTTGATGTAACTATCATCAGAAGATTAAACATCAGAGGATGGAGCCAATAGGGCCAATAGTCATGACGCCCGCAGTGGTCATGGAATACGCCTTCATCCCAGAGAGTGGCAAAGACGACATCAAGCTCAGTGATTTCCGAGAACTGTGGCAGGGGCATCGTGATGCAGTTTTGACCGAAGACAACGTTCACATTTCCTGTTTTGCCCGTGGCGGCGGCAGCGCCGTCAAACACATTTTTGAAGGGCGTGAAAGCTGGAATGGAAAGCCCTTCTTTGTGTACAAGCATTGTCGTGACTCGTTTCCGAAGATGGGAATTGTGG